AGGTAGGTGGGGGGGGGGCGGGGGTTAGATTTAAGTTCATAAGCGAAAAGTAAGCTTCAAAAACACTAATTTTTACTATTATTGAGGAATAAAATTCGAAAGGAATTTTTCTACAAAAAAAATTTACTTATGCTAAAGATTGAAAAAAAATGCCCAAGGTAGGTCTCCTTAGGCACCTTTGAACATGCAGATTCTGTTTTGTATTCCGAAGCATGTTTAATACTCATGTTATCAGGAAAAGGATCGGAATTACTGATTAGTCATTTGAATAAATTTAACATTAAAATCAATGTTAATGGTGTAGACCAGGACGCCAATTAAAAAAATCAGATCGGAAGGGGGTGGGGGAGGGGAGGCATTACTTGTGCATTTTAAATTGTTAAATATTTTGGTTTAAATACTTGTACGTCTTGGTTTTAATTAATGTTACAACGTGATTTGCATATTTTTATACAGATTTCCAGGCATTAAAACTTTATACTTCCCCCCCCCCCCCCCCTTGAATAATTACCCCCTTCCCGGGGGGGGGGGGGGGGGGGGGGGGGGGTAAAGGGGTAAATATTGAATATATCGTGGGTTAAAATGCGCGGAGCAAAGTGACGGCTGTGTATGTATGCTGTGAATAGAGTTAAGCTTGGGGCGAATTTACTTTCAAACTTTTCAAAGTTAAGATTGAGAGAGCCAGGACGGATGAAGAGAAATGTATTTATGGAGCTAGGACGGATGGAGAGAAATGAATTGAAGGAGCTAGGACGGATAGAGATAGATAGGACGGATGGAGAGAAATGAATTTACGGAGCTAGGACGGATAGAGAGCAATGGATTGAAGTAGCTAGGACGGATGGAGAGAAATGTATTTATGGAGCTAGGACGAATGGAGAGGAATGGATTGAGAGAGCTAAGACGGATGGAGAGGAATGGATTGAGAGAGCTAGGACGGATGGAGACGAATGGATTGAGAGAGCTAGGACGGATGGAGAGGAATGTATTGAAAAAGCTAGGACGGATGGAGAGGAATGGATTGAAAAAGCGAGGACGGATGGAGAGGAATGGATTGAGATAGCTAGGACGGATGGAGAGGAATGGATTGAGAGAGCTAGGACAGATGGAGAGGAATGGATTAAGGAATCTAATGCGTAGATAAGACAAATGGAGAAAACGCTAGTTTAAAAGAAATTGAGGACTTGAAAAGATTTCACATATTCCAATACATCACGCTGTGTATAGGTGACGACATATCTTCTGTATTCTTAGGATAATAGGGAGCTTGGAGTAGAGTGGATACAAGATATGAAGATAACAGGAGGGGGGGTGGGGGTACATTTATGAGTATTGAGGGGGGGGGG